AACAGATAGAATAGCAACTGATGTATTTATGTGGAATTACAATTGAAATGTAAAATTCAATTTATTACTTCAAACAATACATTTTACGTATTGACAAAACTTAAATTAATTAATACCTACCCTGAGTCACCAAGCAGCCACCCCTTCTGTTTAGATTCCTAAATTCTTTATCTCTGAGTTGTTGAATATATGCGAGTCATGGGTTGATCCAGGCCACAGGATGACAATGGATAAATCATTTTAATCTATGGAACATTTGCACAACTGATACAAAATTGATATGCATGCAGACTATAGCAAATCTATGTCATGACAGGAAATATTGGTTTTATTTTCGTGTCAGGACGTTCAGCGGAACAGCAATTTTGTAAATGTTATCTTTTGTCATAATTTCAGTTTTTCTCGAATACTTAGATTTTATGTAATATACCCATAATACGAAATTATTTTCGGTACGAAACGAACCATGCAGGAAACGAAAAGGTGAAGGTCACAAGGAAGTAAACATACCTCATTTTGGCGTTACACACTGCTTGCACGTTGATATCCCTTTCTGCTTATATATGCCACTTCGTCCTTCTTTGGGGCCTGTATGGGGATAAGTGTGCCATCGACATATCCTATTACACGGGGAAACCCGCATATGTCATGGAATTCTTCCATGACCGATCGAGTTTCGGTGGGGAATTTAATCAAGTCCAGAGACTCGGCCAGAGCACTAGTTTTGTCGCAGAGTATTCTTGACACACAAGCTCGGGAAACTCCATGGAGATCCCCGATTTCACTGTGGAAAGCCCCTTTTGCCAAATACCTCAGTGCACACAACACTTGCAAGGAGGTCGGAAGAGCATATGTCAGCGTCGTGTAGGTTTGTTCAGTTGGGGCTCTAACATTCTGCACAGTTAGAAAATATCATGCCTAGGAAATCTATATCTCGACATCATGTCAACATCATCCAGAGAGTCGAGCACGTTCAACCTGTCTCAAAATATTCTAGGTCTTCTTTGTTTGTGCGTTTTAATCACTTGCAGATCTCAGCATAATCGTTGACGCCATCTCTGTAGTGTTTACGACCCCCTAGAAAGCATTTACGACAAGTCAATCGGGGTCCTAAATTTTGGGCTGTTTACGGCACAGTGTAAATATACGAGGTCTTTGTGAAACGGGGTGAAAAAGTAAGAGGTGGTCTACGACCTGCTTTACGAGGTCGTACCGGCAAGAGGGCTTTGTGAAACGGGCCCCTGGTCTGTACCTGGCGACTTTAATCTTGAAGCACCATGGGTGAATGATTATGATTACCTTTGATGTGCAAAGGTCGCACAATTCTCCTTCCCAAAAAAAGAGACTTGGCTGATCCCCAAAACTTCCGCCGTGTCACAGTTTTCAATACACAAAATAAAATATTCAAAAGGTGTTTGACAAACCTCATGTCATCTTACTGCTCTTCCAATGATGTAATTTATAGAGGGCAGAAGAGGTCGAGAAAGGGATTCTAAAAGAAAATACTGACATGAAATGTCGACTTTGCAATGAATTTACAGAAACTGTCCAACACCTTGTCAGTGGATGTCCCTCCTTGGCACAAAGAGCATACCTTAATCAACATGATAGCATGGCCAATTGTGTTAACTGCAGTCTTCGCCATGCCTGTGGCTTTGACTCTGAGGTCCATCCATGATACGACCCTGAACATGTCCATTGTAAATGCCAGCTTTAATCTTCTTAGAATAGGCTCATATACTGCCTCAGAAGAATTCAAACCAACAAACCTGATCTTGTCCTTTTTGAAAGCAACGTGTTTGGCAAAATTCAAGAAAAGCATGCTCGCCTTTGAAATGTCTCGCTTGCATTCTAAGTACACTGTCGTTAGACTCCCCATTGTTCTCGGTGCCCTTGGTTTGGTACCACTTGATCTTTTGACACTAATTCAGAAGGCTGCAATGTTAGGGAGTCTACATATTCTCCGGAAAGTTCTTGGTGGGTTCGACTAGGCAGCGTTTCCTGGGAGAAGTCCCCTTCGCTGTGTGGACTGCGTGTAGAAGGGGCCAGGTCCCTGAGTTGATAATGAGCCTTACCAGCCTGACTGTGTCAAGATCACCCAAACTATCTCTGTTGCATTTTGATCTTAATCTGTAAAACATAATAATATTTGTATTTGTAATGCGTTAAAATCCACATAAAAAGCATGCTCAAAGCGCTATGTAGAATGAAATAAAAGCAAATATTTACAAAGTTTATGTTAGAACAAGGGTAAAAATATCAGGAATATTCAGTTATATGTTGTAATATTTTTGAAAAGATGGGTTTCCAGTGAACTTTTAATTGATTCAAAAGAGGGAAACATTCAGCGGGGAGATGATTCCACAGCTGTGAAGCACCATAGCTGAATGAGCGAAAACCAAATGCCCTGATTTTTTGTCTGGGAATGGTGAGAGGGTGTTGATCTGCCGATCTAAATATTCTGGAAGGATTGTGCTTGGTGACTAGCTCAACAAGGTCGCCTGGAGTCGTATGATGGTAACACTGGTAGGCAAGACTCAGGACCTTGAATTCAAATCTGGCTCTGATTGGTAGCCAGTGAAGAGACTTAAGAACAGGCGTTATGTGGATCCTTGAGGGAACTTTGCAACTTTATATCCCAATTGCTTATATCGAGCGGTGTAAAAGTAAACTCACTCGCTCACTCATATTTTCGGTGTTGCGAAATTTACCTCTTTCCACTAACAATCTCAAAATCAAATAAGGTCACACTCTGAGATCAGGGTATTGGCTGATCCTTTCTTTCCTCTTAGAAGCTTAACCCCATCTTGACAGAGATATCCTTACATCCTCTCCCGGGGTACACTATTCACCAGATAGAATGTTTACCCTGTGGGGCTGCTCAAACATCCATGTGGCCTAACCTGAGCTAGTTTGATTGGTGTTCGTTCCAACCACTTAAACAACACGCACAGAAAAAACCTTGAAACTTCAACTCTCTGTCAGTTGGTATTCGTTGGCTACAATAGGGCTCAGGTGTTGAGTGGAAAAGGCGTTTTCCAGTACAAGTGCTCTTGTGTGTGAATATATGCTGTCAGTTTTAGCCCTTTCTGGTCGTAAGGAGCATACCAGGTAAGACAGTTACACGTGTTAGAGATATTAAGTCAATTGTTCCTTTTTTCCGTGAGATAGAATTGGTTCAAGGTGACATCACTGCGGACATGGAGGCATAATTGCGATCATTTTACATATGCTGTATTTATGGAGAGTATTTTGTTCATGCTTTGTTCATACAAAGCGATAACCCGTGAAGATCTGGATAAGAATGTGTCTTCAGCAATCCATGCTTGTCGTAAGAGGCGACTAACGGGATCAGTTGCTCAGGCTCGCTGACTTGGTTGACACATGTGATCGTATCCCAATCGAGGATTATGCTGTTGCTAACTGGTCGTGACCGCATTTACAGGTCGTAGCTGGAATATTTCTGAGTGCAAAAACACCCATAGAAACATTATTTGTGACAGTTTTCTTGACAGAGAGCCAAATGAATGTTTGTGTGTGAATTATGTCGCTGCATGTGTGTGCGCGTGCGTGCGTGCGCGCCCGCGCGCGTGTATGTATCGGTGTGCATTGTGCATGTGTGTGTACGTGCAGTGTGCTGTGTGTATTTATGTGTGATGTATGTATGCGTGCGTGCGTGTTTGTATGTCAGTGGTTCATTGAATATTTAAATGGAATATATATAAACACACACACACACACACAAAAGGAACGAAAATGTGTTGAGAGAAGCAATCACCACAAAAATGACTCATATTGTACTGAACAGTGGCGGGGTAACCTCGTGGTTAAAGCGTTAGCTCGTTACGCCAACGACCCGGGTTTGATTCTTCACATGGTTACAATGTATGAAGCCCATTTCTGATGACCCCGACCGTGATATTACTGGAATATTACTAAATGCGGTGTAAATCCAAATTCCACTTACTCACTCACTCACTCACCCACTATGGCCGTATGATCTCAAGATTCAGGCATACAATCCTCAAGGCATAAACATTAATAACGGAGATAATGTCAATATCTCGTGTACCATCCGCCAACAGTAATGATATTCCTATCCAGTCAATATATTACGAACTACATATGCAGTGTTTCTGTGGCCCAAGTCAGGTACAAAAGTAATCCGACCAGTTGGCCTCTCCTATGTCGTCATTATACAGGGACACCGACACCAAGCTAACCGTGCTTCTGTGTGCTCTGCATATTTCTGATTTTCCAGGTGGGTATCGATTCCCCACACGGGTACAATGTGTGAAGCCAATTTCTGGTGTCTCCCGACGTGATATTGCTGGAATATTGCTAAAAGCGGCGTAAAACTAAACTCACTAACTCACAGGGTCTGATTTTCAGAGTTATCGAATTTTCTGAATCTTTTATGGAGGCGCAAAACAGCAACAACAAACAAACAAACAACATAAACCAGATCAACAAATCAACACTTTATTGTAATTCCATCTTATTCCGTCTTACATGAGATGGAACTGTGGATAATAATGTAAATCTGAAATCTGAAACGAAACTTAGTCGGAACCACAATCAGCTGGACACACTTATTCTACCTGTCTACCAGTGATTCAGCTTAAAAAACGAAATAAAATAACACAACAAAGTTGAACACAACGGCTGGAATAAATTGTGTTTGTATTTTGTATTAAAACATCCGAAACCTTAAGTCAGGAATTAATGCCAGATGAGGTTAGAGAAGTGGCAGTTTGAGCCTACCAAACTTTTGAACCGTGAAAACACATTTGCATCTTCATATTTTCATGTCGAGAAAAAATTCTCTGTCTCCTTTGTTTCTTGCAACAGAAGCGGAAACATGCCGTCTCAAGAAAATGTATTTGCTCTCGTGATGATGCGATAGAAGACAATGCAAGGTGTGCCATTCATCTTGAAATGTTTCTGATTTCAGAATGGTGAGATCAAAGATAATGATGGGCGTCGCAATCATCCTGTCCATGTCATCACTGTCGTTGACGCAAGATGTTTCAACTACCAGTGGACGACTCCGAGGAAACTGCCTGTCAGTCCTTGGAAAGTCTGTTGACGTGTATCATGGAGTACGTTTTGCCAAACCGCCTGTTGGAGATCTGCGCTTCAAGCATCCCGTTGCTTTCGAGGCGAACAACTCGGGAATCACATACGCCCAAGTTCCCGGACCATCCTGTATCCAGCCAAAAATACCATTCTTTACAGAAAGTTTCAAGCAGATCCCTGATGACTACAGCGAGGACTGCCTGCACCTGTCGATCTGGACACCAACAAACAACACTGGTAACCTTTCAGTAATGATCTGGGTATATGGTGGTGGATTTTGGTTTGGTTCTGGTCAGATGCCTCTTTATGACGGCGCAGTTCTTGCTGTGGAGCATAACGTTATCGTGGTGACCATCAACTACAGACTTGGACCCCTAGGTTTTGCTTATCTGGGCCCGGAAACTGTGCCTGGCAACATGGGTTTGATGGACCAAAGAATGGCATTCAAATGGGTCAAGACAAATGTTGCCAATTTTGGTGGAGATCCTAATCGAATTACCATATTTGGGGAGAGTGCTGGAGCTCTTTCTGTTGGTCTTCATATATTTTCTCCCTTGTCAAGAGATACGTTTGACAGAGCAATCATGGAGAGTGGACCAATGACAGAATCGTTTACATACCTAGATGCGCACACAAGTAAAGATATCACAATAAAGCTTGCTGAGAAGCTCAAGTGCCCTACTCATTCCGATGTTGATATCTATGAGTGTTTGAAATTTGCTGATGCTCAATCAATAGCGGACCTTCAGTTTACTCTCAGCGTCAGAAACCTTATCGCATTTGCTCCAGTCATTGACAAATATTTCCTCCCTGATGACCCCAAGACTTTGCTGGCCCGAGGCGAATATAAGAACACCGAGCTTTTGCATGGTTTTAACAAAGACGAAGCTACATTGTTTGTGATGAACTTAGTGACAGGCTTAAGAAATCTTACAGCCCCGCCACAAAATCTGACTCTTAGTTCCGCAGAATATGAAATGATGATAAAATCAACATTTATAAAAGATTTGAGTGATAAGGCTAAAGAAGCACTGAGCATCTACTACAAAAGTCTGCAGCCTCCTGGCAACGTCGACTACTTTGATGTCGTCAACAATCTTCAGAGCGACGTCCTCTACAATTGTCCAGTTGTGGAATTTGGATCAGTGTTGTCCAGGATCAACCCCACGTTTCTGTATGGTTTCAATCATCGCATCTCTACAAATCCATTCCCAGCATGGACAGGAACAGCTCATTCCTTCGAGATAGAGCTGGTGTTTGGGGAGTCCACATCTACGACCACTCAGTGGGACGTTACTCCGCAAGGCAAATTGCAATGCCTTAGACAACTGCCCGCCTGTGGACCCGTTATTTATTTATTTGCGTATTTATTTATTTATTTATTATTTATTTATTTATTAATTATTTTAATATATTTTTTTTCATTCATCCATCCATTCATTCATTTATTCATTCATTCAGTCATTCATTCATTTGAACTGTGTAGAACTAGACAAGGTGCTGAAGGTACAGAAGGGACGGTTACTACATTCGCTCGATTCCCTAAAAGTACAGTGTGTCAACCCAAGTTTGATATCCCCACAATGATGGTTCTGGGGCGTTGCCGTGTAGAGACTAGACGCCATCCAGCCTGTTATGTACAGCCGAGACGCCATTCAACCTGTTATGTACAACCTGGACGCCATTCAACCTGTTATGTACAACCAAGACGCCATTCAACCTGTTATGTATAGCCTAGACGCAATTCAGCCTGTTATGTACAGCCTAGACGCCAGTCAGCCTGTTATGTACAGCCTAGACGCTAATCGGTCTGATATGTATAACTTAGACGCCATTCAACCTGTTATGTACAACCTAGACGTCATTCCGCCTGTTTTGTACAGCCTAGACGCCATTCAGCCTGTTATGTACAACCTAGACGCCAGTCAGCCTGTTATGTACAGCCTAGACGTCATTCAGCCTGTTATGTACAGCCTAGACGCCATTCAGCCTGTTTTGTACAGCCTAGACGCCATTCAGCCTGTTTTGTACAGCCTAGACGCCATTGAACCTGTTATGTACAGCCTAGACGCCGGTCAGCCTGTCATGTACAACCTAGACGCCATTCAGCCTGTTTTGTACAGCCTAGACGCCGGTCAGCCTGTTATGTACAGCCTAGACGTCATTCAGCCTGTTTTGTACAGCCTAAACGCCATTCAGCCTGTTGCGTACAGCCTAGACGTCGATTTGTTATGTACAGTTATGTACAGCCTGGACGCCAGACGCCATTCAGCCTGTTATGTACAGCCTAGACGCCATTCAGCCTGTTATGTACAGCCTAGACGCCAGTCAGCCTGTTATGTACAGCCTAGACGCCATTCAGCCTGTTATGTACAGCCTACACGTCATTCAGCTTGTTATGTACAGCCTAGACGTCATTCAGCCTGTTTTGTACAGCCTAGACGCCATTCAGCCTGTTTTGTACAGCCTAGACGCCATTCAGCCTGTTATATACAGCCTAGACGCCATTCAGCCTGTTTTGTACAGCCTAGTACAGCCTTGTGTACAGCCCAGACGCCATTCAGCCTGTTCAGCCTGTACAGCCTAGACGACGCCTGTTATGTTCAGCCTGTTATGTACAGCCTAGACGCCATTCAGCCTGTTATGTACAGCCTAGACGCCATTCAGCCTGTTATGTACAGCCTAGACGCCATTCAGCCTGTTTTGTACAGCCTAGACGCCATTCAGCCTGTTATGTACAGCCTAGACGCCATTCAGCCTGTTATGTACAGCCTAGACGCCATTCAGCCTGTTTTGTACAGCCTAGACGCCATTCAGCCTGTTATGTACAGACGCCATTCAGCCATTCGTTTTGTACAGCCTAGACGCCATTCAGCCTGTTTTGTACAGCCTAGACGTCACAGCCTGTTTTGACAGCCCAGACGCCATTCAGCCTGTTTTGTACAGCCTAGACGCCATTCAGCCTGTTTTGTACAGCCTACACGCCATTCAGCCTGTTTTGCAGCCTAGACGCCATTCAGCCTGTTTTGTACAGCCTAGACGCCATTCAGCCTGTTTTGTACAGCCTAGACGCCATTCAGCCTGTTTTGTACAGCCTAGACGCCATTCAGCCTGTTTGTACAGCCTGACCCGCCTAGACGCCATTCAGCCCTGTTTTGTACAGCCTAGACGCCATTCAGCCTGTTTTGTACAGCCTAGACGCCATTCAGCCTGTTTTGTACAGCCTAGACGCCATTCAGCCTGTTTTGTACAGCCTAGACGCCATTCAGCCTGTTTTGTACAGCCTAGACGCCATTCAGCCTGTTTTGTACAGCCTAGACGCCATTCAGCCTGTTATGTACAGCCTAGACGCCATTCAGCCTGTTTTGTACAGCCTAGACGCCATTCAGCCTGTTTTGTACAGCCTAGACGCCATTCAGCCTGTTTTGTACAGCCTAGACGCCATTCAGCCTGTTTTGTACAGCCTAGACGCCATTCAGCCTGTTTTGTACAGCCTAAGACGCCATTCAGCCTGTACAGCCTAGACGCCATTCAGCCTGTTTTGTACAGCCTAGACGTCATTCAGCCTGTTTTGTACAGCCTAGACGCCATTCAGCCTGTTTTGTACAGCCTAGACGCCATTCAGCCTGTTTTGTACAGCCTAGACGCCATTCAGCCTGTTTTGTACAGCCTAGACGCCATTCAGCCTGTTTTGTACAGCCCTAGACGCCATTCAGCCTGTTTTGTACAGCCTAAGACGCCAGTCAGCCTGTTTTGTACAGCCTGGGCGACAGTTATGTACAGCCTAGACGCCAAAGCCTGTTTTGTACATTCAGCCTGTTTTTGTACAGCCTAGACGCCATTCAGCCTGTTTTTATGTTACAGCCTAGACGCCATTCAGCCTGTTTGTGTACAGCCTAGACGCCATTCAGCCTGTTATGTACAGCCTAGACGCCATTCAGCCTGTTTTGTACAGCCTAGACGCCATTCAGCCTGTTTTGTACAGCCTAGACGCCATTCAGCCTGTTTTGTACAGCCTAGACGCCATTCAGCCTGTTTTGTACAGCCTAGACGTCATTCAACCTGTTATGTACAGTCTAGACGCCATTCAGCTTGTTTTGTACAACCTGGGTCTCACGTCAGGGCTGGTATTGTGTACCGTGTCTGTTGTATTTGTTTAGTCTCAGCTTCACTCCCATGACAAGAGAAACGCCCAGTCATCGCGATGCTATATCTACCGATACCCCAAATTGTTTACCTAAACAAACAGTTTCGCCTTTGCAACAGTTTTTGTTATTCTAATCACACAAAAAAAGCCCGCATAGGCCATAAATAATGAAATGTATTAACCGTATTTAAGTGTACATAAGTCTATTAAACTTTAACATATATGAAGGAAATTCGACAAAAGGATGAACATATGTATTGTTGTCATTGTCAGCAGTTATTCCGTTCACTCACTGCGCATGTGTGGCCACAAGGGGGCGTTCAGGTCAGTACCTGGTGACACCACCCCTTGCAGCCGTCACTGCTCGACAACGCCTTGGAAGGGATTGCATATGGCGTGGGATTTTTGCTTTGGGAATTTTTCCCCATTCCTCCAGCTACGCGTTGGCAAGTTTTGCAAGTGTCTGAGAACGACTGTGACGCTTACGGACGTGTCAATCAAGTTCGTACCATAGATGCTCGATCGGGTTCAGATCAGGTGATTTAGAAGGCCAGGGACGTTTGCACGGGCGAGATGGGCATCTGTTACAGAGCTGTGTGTTCGAGCGTTGTCGTGTTAAAACAGCTCCCTCTGGCGGTTAAAAAGGATTTGGTCGATGCAGCGACTTGCCGTAAGATTGCCTTGAACCACCACTAGCTCTGCTCTACCCGTGTAGGACGTGTCTCCCAACACCTGTCGAACAGTTCTGTGCCAAACGTGGACCATACAATCCAGTGATCAACAGCATCATGATCGATCTACGCAATCTGGATACGATGACATGTGTCAACCAAGTCAGCGAGCCTGACCACCCGATCCCGTTAGTCCCCAACTAGGACAAGCATGGGTTACTGAAGATCAAGTTAAAGACAGATCTTCGCGGTTGGATAAATGCAGAAAAAACCCCGTAAAACTTATGATTACTTAGTAATGAGTAATAGCACTAACTTGGTTATTTTTTAAGGTTTTACCGTGGCGAGTACTTTTACACATATGCATGAGAATTTCTCCTTCCGGCAATTGACTCCAACGGATGTCGACAAACACAAATCATTTCATGTTATTTGGCAATAAAATTTATGTCATTAATTAACCAACACAACAGACACCGTGTACATCACACAAGGCCGCTTGTGTGCGTGTAATTTAATATTTATTTCATGGAACGTCTGGAACTATTTTGAATCACCTCATGTAACCTTCAACTTAGGTATCATATTCCATATTGAGCCATTCGTCACCACTCGTCCCTTTCCGTAACGTCCAAGAAGACTTGCCTCACTATGAATGAATGTTATGTTCGAAAATTCGACAAACCAGTCAAACTACGCGTAAGGACTCAGGTACTTTGATAAAAATATTCCCGAATACTTAAATCGCTTATGGCATTATGTGGTTGTTTAAAAAGTCATGAAAAATATAGATCGTCAAGTAGACATTACAAAGAACATATCTATCAGAACAGCGTTGCCTAATTTAAGTTTTTAATACCTAAGGACCTCAAGCGGTGCGAGATTCATATACATGTGCGTTCGTTGACATAAATGCTCTCGTGTTTCCAATTGAGTATTTTTGGGGGACATTTTCAGGCATGTTTTGGAGATTATACGTGCGCTTCCGACATGTTTAGGTATTTTAAACGGTTGTGAGTTTCAAAACGATATATTTATACTCAAGTTGGTCATGAATGATTTTGAAGTCTTCTTGGAGGTTATCGAAAGGGACGAATGGTGACGAATGATTTTTAACGAGAAACTGGGCCAGCGCGTTTTCAAGAAAACAGTTGTCGAAGGATGAATTTTGCTCAAATTCCATAATAAGTGGAGAGTGAAGTGCTTAATGTAATATTCAGGAGCGACCAGGAAAACGTGAGGTAGTGGTTTGGAGGTAATGAGACAAAAGGTCGGTCATTTTGTTTACCGACATCATCAACACCTGGTTTTAGTGTTAGATAGGCAATGAGTCTATCTTTAGACTTTGGCCATAGAAACAGCCCATTTTTAGAGAATGACAAAAGTTAGATTCATTTGTGCAATATAAGGTCCCCAAACAGTGTTCCTTTCATTCAGGCTCCAGTCGCAAGAGAGAACGCACATATCTTATGCTCTTGACTCAACTGGTTCTGTTGGCCAAGGTCAAGGTGTGGCCAAGGTCAACCCATGCATCACATGGCACCTCCACAGAAAGCAGCGATGTTTGGAGGAGATATTTCACTCTGACTTTCATGACATAAAAACACATGCTTTTGCTGATGGACTTACACTTTGTCTAGAACCAAACATCGTCAGAGACGTATACATGAAATGCATACATACACACACTCAAGCAAACACACACACACACACACACACACACACACACACACACACACACACACACACACACACACATATACACACATACAGACATACATACATACATACATACATACATACATACATACATACATACATACATACATACATACATACATACATACATACACATTGTTATGAGGCATTATACGTTGTATGCTTCTCTCGAGGGTAATACGGTCTGATATACGCCTCTTTGTAGCAGTGTCACACGAGCCTGTAGGCGAATCTGGCCTAGGGAGTCATGGAATATTCTACTTCAAATTGTTTTGGAAGGGTAAACCCTCAGGTTGCATATTCAGACTTATCGATAGAGCAAAGCTCAGATTATGATCTTGATAAAGGTACCCTTCTAAAAGCTTATGAGTTAGTGCCCGAAGCTTATGGTCAGAAATTTAGAAATGCTCATAAAATTGACAATGAGACTTTTGTAGAAGGAAACTTTGACCGATGGGTGGTGTTGTTCTAAGGAGGACAAAGATCTTGATGGTTTGAGGCAGTTAGTTTTGATTGAGGATTTCAAGCAGAGTGTCCATTCTGATCTCAAGACTGGATTTGGATGAACGTAATGTTCGCGCCTTACATGAGGCAGCGCTGTTGGCAGATGACTATTGTTTGACTCACAAGAGTTCTTGCCACGTTCACGTTCATCTCCAGTTGTTTTTAATTTAAAAATCCCCATTATCGTACTATGTCTCTTACTGCAACTTCAGCACCAGGCGGGCTAGGCTCGTCCGATAGTGGGAACTGAGTGGTGGCGATACGCATCAGTCCATTTGGAAAGCCTGCACAACTCTCTCGTGTTAAAGGTATCTTTTTATTATTCTTCAAGCATGACCCAATATTGATCACGTGTTCCATCAAATCGTTTTGTTTCGTTAAAAAGATGTATCTGTCCTTGTGTGTCGTGATCGGAACAATACGGGGCAGCACTCATCCCTTTTCAACTGCCGATTGTTTTAAAGTAAGCATTATCTGTTCCCTCTGTCTCTCCTGATGACTCTGTTCTGCCCTTACACACGAAATCCACATATCTCTGTCGATCTCCTTGAAACCCGCAACATTTTTTCTTCATCGCTTTCCAAACTGAAGCAATCATAAGAATAACCGCGAAACTTAAGCTATGTTAAAGGCAAAAAAACACAGAAAGAGGTTCGAATGAACAAATGCAACTTCGCATTAAATAGACTCTCGTCCTTTTACTGAAATACCATTCAAATCTCAATCACCATTTACAAGATTTCCGTTATTCAGTACATGGGAGGAAACCCGTGGAGATATGGCTTAAAATTGGTCTTCAGCAACACACGAAACCGGGGAGACGTAACATGAGAATTAGGACACATTTTATGTTCTTTCTGTAGGCGTTTGGTTTGGATGAGGTAATGGTTTTGAAAATGTGCATTTCCCTGTTTAGACAAAGATATGTTTAGGACGTAATCTTGAATTAACATATTAATCGTCTTTATTCTGCCTATACGACCTTTCAGTGAAAGTTTCATTGCCTTTATAAACAAGCACTTTTGAAACATAACGTTTAACTTGTAGATCAATGTGGTTACATAGTGGCATTACACATTCATAGTTATGTCAAGAGTAACATATAATCAATGAAATCATGTCCAATCTATTATGAAAAAAATACTATATTTCTTAGAGATATGAACAAGCAGTACATTGACACCACAAAATGTAGCACTTGATATAGACCATCTGATATCAGTCTTGAAAGTAACTTGCGCGGTGGTCTCACAAGTGAAGACAAAGTTGTATGATGACAAGAAGAAAGGAGACAACTGCTAGCGAGAGAAAATTCCTTGGCTGACTTCCGAACTCCTCAACTGACAGGTGAACGGAGCTTCTGTTGTGTCTGAAATAATGTCAACAGTAAAAAACAAATATTTGAATTTAAACACTGGATATAACTAAATACACACACATTGCACACGATGGCACGTGGTTATAGCATTCGCTCGTCACGCCA